CCGCCTCTCCCTCTGGGCCGCCCCTCCGGGGCCCCCGCATTCCGGGGGGCTGAGCCCCGACCCCAAGCCCGGGGCCGCTCCCACCTCCTCCCGGCGCCCCCTGCTCAGCAGCCCGAGCTGGGGGGGCCCAGAACCTGAAGGCCGGGCGGGAGGTGGCGTCCCCGGCTCGTCCTCCCCGCACCCGGGCACCGGCAGCCGGAGGCTGAAGGTGGCGCCTCCCCCGCCGGCTCCCAAGCCTTGCAAGACCGTGACCACGAGTGGCGCCAAAGCCGGCGCGGGCAAGGGCGCAGGGAGCCGCCTGTCATGGCCCGAGAGCGAGGGCAAGCCCAGGGTCAAGGGGTCAAAGAGCAGCGCCGGGACGGGAGCTGCCGCCGCGGCCGCCGCAGGGGCGGGAGGCGCGGCAGCCACGACCTCCGGTGGGGTCGGAGCGGGGCCCGGAGCCCGAGGGAAGCTGTCCCCCCGGAAAGGCAAGAGTAAGACCTTGGACAACAGTGACTTGCACCCCGGACCACCTGCCGGCTCTCCTCCTCCACTCACCCTCCCGGCCACCTCGGCTCCAGGCGCTGCTCTCACCGTCGCCGCCGCGATGCCGACGGGGCCTGCACCGCCCAACACCCTGGAGCCCCCAGCTCCGGGGCTGAAGCGGGGCCGGGAGGGGGGCCGCGCGTCCACTCGGGATCGCAAGATGCTCAAGTTTATCAGCGGCATCTTCACCAAGAGCACAGGGGGGCCTCCTGGCTCCGGGCCCCCCGCCGGGCCCCCAGGCCTGTCTTCCGGCAGCGGGTCCCGGGAGCTGCTGGGCACCGAGCTCCGCACCTCCCCTAGTGAGTAGGGCCGGAGTCTGAGAACCGGGAGGGGAGGGCGCCTGGGAGGCTCAGCTGGGGTTGGGGGAGCCCGTGCAGGGCTGACCTGGGGGAGCTTCTCTCCTGGGGGGGCAGAGGAGCCAGGCTGCCCTCTCTGCCAAGGACTGGGGTGAGGACCAAGAGGTCCTGGCGGGGGTGAGCAGCGACATGGTGGGACAGGAGAAGTGACTTGATTTCAGGGGGATTCGGAAAGCCTCGGAGCTTTCTGGGAAAAGAATACCCTTGGTCAGAGTGACTGCTGGAAACTGCTCAAGCTCCAGACCCCACTTCCAGCCCCAGCTGGAGCCTGGGAGCCTGGAGACAGGACTCTGCCTGGCCCAGAGGGACATGGAAGGGGAAGGGGATTAGGAAGCTCAGTTTCCCCCGAGCACTGGGGGCAGGTGGCGTGAGAACGCCCTTGCAGGCAGCTCCTGGCCAGGGCCAGGTCAGCCCCTGGGCTGAGAGCAGGCTGGCGAGGCAGCAGGAAGGGACTCGGCTTCTTTCCATGCAGGTGGATTGGGGAGTCAGGGAGTGCTAGGGCCTGGATGGTGCTGGATACTTGAACGTGAAGTGAGAGGGGGCAGAAGGAAGCCTCAGTCCCCCCACTGCCCACCCAGGCCCCAGAGCCTAATGGGAACCCCCAGGGGGCTGACCAGGAGTGACTCAAGGGGGCGGGGGGGCTGCTGCAAAGGCAATTCTTACCCCCTGGAGACTTGGGAGGGGGTACGGAGAAGGTGGTGTTTCGTTCCGGGGAGGGGGTGTCTTTATTTCTTATCTTTTTTCTCCTGGAAGAGAGGCGAGGGACTCATGGTTTAGCTCACACTCCTGGAGGGGAGGCAGGTCCGTGAGCGGGGGCGGCTCCCGGGGTTTGGCTCTGGAGCGGGTGGGAGCAGATGGCTCCGGATCCCAGAGTTCCCGCCGCAGCTGCGGCACCCCGGGAACGTCCGGCCAGTGTCAGGCGCGGGGGCTGGACCCGGCGGGCGGAAGGAGCATCCTGCCTCCTCCCACTCCTCCAGGCCTGTGGCTTCTCTCCGCCAGGGAGTGGAGCCCTTGCCCATATTTCTTTTGGAGCATGCTGGTGGGGACGGTTATGGGAGAAGGGGGCACAGAAAATCCAAGCACCATTCCTCGGGCTGTGGGGAGGGGCCAGGGCCTTCAGCCATTGACCTTGAGCAAGGGAAGGCTTATCCCTCACCTCAGTTTCCCTCCTGTGACATGGAGATCGAGGAAGATCCACTCCCTTCTATGTCCCAGCCCCGCCTCCCAGGGTCAGCCCGGGAATCAGACAGGCCTTTGGGTAAGAGACCCCCAAATTCTTCCAGAGGAAAGGACTCACCACTGTCAGAGCCCTGGTCTCAAGGTCTGGGGCAGGGACTTACAGTTTGGGGATGTGTTTTAAGGGAGATGCCAAGTGAAGTATTTTCGTCTTGCTGACTCCGTTGCTAAGCAACCACTGAGCGGCAGCAACAGCTGTGCGGAGAGCTGGCTAGGATGGCAGGACTGGGGACCACTCTCAACCCTAGCCTTTCCACGCAGCTCCCCAGCCCAGGCAGGGTTCTGAGAGTTAAGAAAAGCTGCAAAAGGAGGAGGGGTGGTGAGGGTTGGAAGTCCTCCTGAGCCTGGAGCACCCCCTCTTATGGCTCCTTTCCCATTGCAGAGGCTGTGGTCAATAGCCAGGAATGGACTTTGAGCCGCTCCATTCCTGAACTGCGCCTGGTAGGTAACGTGGTCCCCTTGTCCGCAGGAAGGCTGACCTCCTGTTCACTGCGCTCTCAACTCTCTCTCCTTCATCTCTTCCTTCCCCTCTCTCTGTGAGAAAAGGGAACCGTTTTTTTAGTTCTCCTGAGATTCTACCTTCGTGGCACCTTCCTGAGGCTTGACACATCCTCACAACTTTTTCTTTAGTCTCCTTTTCCCTATGTATCCATGGTTGTCTTTCAGGCTTCTCCTCACTTCTGGCATCTCTCCTATAGTCCTTCATATTCTATTGCCTAGAATTGGGTAAAACTTTTCAACCAGTGCCTAGGGCAGTGGTGGCGAACCTTTTGAGCTCGGCGTGTCAGCATTTTGAAAAACCCTAACTTAACTCTGGTGCCATGTCACATAAAGAAATTTTTTGATATTTGCAACCATAGTAAAACAAAGATGTATATATTATATATATATATATATTTAAATATATTTTATTGATTTTTTACAGAGAGGAAGGGAGAGGGATAGAGAGTTAGAAACATCGATGAGAGAGAAACATCGATCAGCTGCCTCCTGCACACTCCCTACTGGGGATGTGCCCGCAACCAAGTTGCATGCCCTTGACCGGAATTGAACCTGGGACCCTTGAGTCCTCAGGCTGACGCTCTATCCACTGAGCCAAACTGGTTAGGGCAAAGATGTATATTTTTGATATTTATTTAATATATTTAAATGCAATTTAACAAAGAAAAATCAACCAAAAAAATGAGTTAGTGTGTCACCTCTGACACGCGTGTCATAGGTTCGCCATCACTGGCCTAGGGCTATGACATGCTCCCTCCCCCTATACACACATCTAGTATGTTTTCTAAACAGCACAACACACACACACACACACACACACACACACAAATGGTACTGAGTTGCTGACATTATTCAGCTTTTTGGGATTATTTCTTGCCACACTCCTGGCCTGATCTTCCCAGACACGCTCCTGACTGTCATCCTGGCCCTGTGGGACCCTCCTGGGATGATTTAACACTGCCAATCTCTTCAAGTTCTCCAGACTCAAGCATACTGCCGCCTCTCAACTTCCATAATCTCTGCTCTACAAACTTGTCTGCAGGGTGTACTGGGCGATGCCAGGAGTGGGAAGTCATCGCTCATCCATCGATTCCTGACTGGTTCATACCAGGTGCTGGAGAAGACAGAGAGTGAGTTCTTCGGAGTCATAGTAAACTAAGGGTTGGGGTCAAGGATCCAGGATTAATGACTAGGCAGTGTGATCAATGACTAGGTGGGAATGGAGACCAGAGGGAAGGATGAGGCCATGACAGCTAAAGCAGAGGGATAATGGGGTGGTCTGGTGACCTGTGACCTCTGACCTACCACTCCCAACCTTTCTGCACAGGTGAGCAGCACAAGAAAGAGATGTTGGTGGATGGACAGACTCATCTGGTGTTGATCCGAGAGGAAGCTGGGGCACCTGATGCCAAGGTGAGGGGTGAGGTATGGGGTAGGCAGGCTTGCTGGGGTCAGCACTGGCCAAGGGAGTGGGCTCTGGTTTCCCAGGTCTAACTGGGAATAGCATCGAAAGAAATGGACTTGTTTGACCCTCTCTTTGTCCCCTCACCCCCCGCAAGTTCTCAGGCTGGGCAGATGCTGTGATCTTGGTCTTCAGCTTGGAGGATGAGAACAGTTTCCAGGCCGTGAGCCGTCTCCACGGGCAGCTGAGCTCCCTTCGGGGGGAGGGACGAGGAGGTCTGGCGCTGGCATTGGTGGGGACGCAAGGTAAAGAGGGGCTGGGAAGGTACTACTGGTGGCTACTGGGCTATTGCCCAGCACACGAGAGAACTCGGTAAGGTATAGAAATGGCCACGTGGATTCTAGTTTCCTCTGGAAGGAGCCTGGTCTCCAGATGAGGGAGCCATTAAGCCAACACAGACTTCCCAGGACCCGAGCAGAGAGGAGGCTCTCCCGGGAGGGACAGCTGTAGTAGCAGTCGCCTGCCTTGTGTTCTTATGCTCTCGTTTCCGATGCCATCACCATGGGAAACAAAAGCTCAGGCCCTAGTGCTGATAGAAAGCCTTTTCCACTCTCCCTGGCTACAGCTGGGTCAGGCTGACACCTTTCAAAGGAGCCTATTCAAAGCAAAGAGAAAGCACAAATGAAATGATGGAGAAAACACAGAGGCAGGAAACCTTTTAGAGAAGTGATTCAGAGGCGCTCAGACTCTCCGCCGGGGCGAGGAAAGCTCCTGCCACCGCCACCTGTGTGAGGCTGCGGGCTGCCTGGATGCCTGTCCAGCCGGTGCCTGCTTCCACCTGTCGCTTGCCTCCAGCTTTCCCGCGGCAGAGCGAGCAGGCCACCTGTTACGCACGGCTCTCCAGCCTTTTCCTAGTTCACGTGCCAGGCGTTCTCCCTTTCAGTTCAGGGTTCATTGGATTCGCAGGACAGGGTGATTGTCCCCTGTGAGTCCCAACCATTGTAGACCTTGTCAGGAAGCTCCACCGACTCTGCAGTGTTTTCTGAAGACACATACAGAGGGCACTCCGCCGACTCATAATGCAGCTGGGCATTTGGCTGGGTCCAGAACTTACAAAAGGCTATGTACTCCGTTCCACCAGCCACAGGAGAGGTCCTTTCAGACCCTGTCCCTAGTGGGTCCAGCCTGGGACTGGAGCCCAAGGGGAAGGAAAGCAGGAAAAATGGGGGGGGGCCTTGATCCCGCTCCTCTCCTGCGCCCTCAGACAGGATCAGTGCTTCTTCCCCTCGGGTCGTGGGTGATGCTCGTGCCAGAGCTCTGTGCGCAGACATGAAACGCTGCAGCTACTACGAGACTTGTGCAACCTACGGGCTCAATGTGGACCGGGTCTTCCAGGAGGGTGAGTGTGGTCATCCCAGCAAATGTGGGGAACGGGGCTAGAGGCCTGGGATAGTCTTAGAGGCTGCGCATCCGGGCCTCGCTCTGTGGGTGATAGGTAGGTCATTCGCCTGTGCGGGAGGCAGGGGGGACCAGGGAGGCCAGAGAAGTCTTGCGTAATAGCCACAGGTCTTTCTGGACTGGAGGAGCTGGCAGGGTTACATGTGGCGCGAAGGCCACACTAATAAAGAACTTGGGGCCTATGTTATCTCTTGGGGATTTCTCAGAGCTGGGCACCAGAGGGTGTTCTTGGGTATCTGCCCTACTCACACCTCCTTCCCCTCCCCCCTCCAGTGGCCCAGAAGGTGGTGACCTTACGCAAACAGCAACAGCTTCTGGCTGCCTGCAAATCCCTGCCCAGCTCCCCAAGCCACTCAGCTGCTTCCACTCCCGTAGCTGGGCAGGTGAGTTGGGGGCTTCAGGGTCCACAGAGGGGCTGGTAAGAATCTGAGTGGCTGGTGATCCAAGGAGGCTGGAGGAGGGAAGGAGGCTGGAGGAGGGAGGGCAGGTGGGAATGGTAGTGACACCATTTGTAGAAAGTGCATTGGACTGGAAAACCAATGTCCTTGAGCAAGTCACCCAAACCTCCCAAGGTTGTTAGGAAAATTATATGGCAAAAACTTGTGAAGTCGACTTTGTAAAACTAAAGCACTATGACTATGCTAGTGAGGAGTTTCTTATTAATGCTAATACAAGTAAATGATGATGAGATCGAGGAATTCCCCTGGTTCCTCATAACTAGATGTAACTGTAGCTTGGTGGGATGGGAGCATCTCAGCTATTTTGACTTCTCCAGGCTAGTAACGGGGGCCACACTAGCGACTACTCTTCTTCCCTCCCGTCCTCACCCAACGTCGGTCACCGCGAGCTCCGAGCTGAGGCAGTGGCAGTGGCTGGATTGAGCACCCCAGGGTCCCTGCACCGGGCAGCCAAGCGCAGGACCAGCCTGTTTGCGGTATTGGATATGCTGACCCCCACCCCCCGTCCCCCGTTACCTGCCCATCTTCCCTGGTCCCTAGACCCCTCTTTTGGGCCCTTATTCACCTGCCTTTCCTGTCCTTCCATCAGTGTATCCCTCCATCCATCTTCTAACTGATGCCAATAACCATTCCAGAATCGCCGGGGCAGTGACTCTGAAAAGCGGAGCTTGGACAGTCGGGGAGAGACAACAGGGAGTGGGCGAGCCATTCCCATTAAACAGGTGGGTGTTTTCCAGGGGCTGAGGGCAGGCTGGAGGTAGCTGATCCTAACTGGGCTCACCCACATGCCTTTCTCCAAACTGCAGAGCTTTCTACTAAAGCGAAGTGGCAATTCCTTGAACAAAGAATGGAAGAAGAAATACGTGACCCTGTCCAGTAACGGCTTCCTACTTTACCACCCCAGCATTAACGTGAGTGGCAGAGGCTGGCCGCCACAGCGCTGGCCTTAGACGCCCTTCCAGCTCTAGGAGTCTGTGCCTCTGACAAACACTAGTATTTCTGGGAAGGTCGTCTGGTTCTCTTAAGTTTAGCAAGCATGTTGAAGGTTAGGTACCTCCCAGGTGCCCATCCCGGGGATGAAAAGGTAACTATATCTCCCCAGGGACTTCCAGCCTAGGGGGAGAGCATGGAGAAAGGGCCTTCACCGGGCCTGCCCTTCAGGGAATGCTTTCTGGAGGAGACAATGCTGAGCCAATAATGTTTGGCTCATCCCCTAGAAGCTCATCCCAGCCCACTGAGCTCTAAGAGCTCCCCCTTTTTATATACATTTTTATTGATTTCAGAGAGGAAGGGAGAGAGATAGGAACATCAATGATGAGGGAGAATCATTGATTGGCTGCCTCCTGCATGCCCCACACTGGGGATCGAGCCCAAAACCCGGGCATGTGCCCTGACTGGGAATTGAACCGTGACTTCCTGGTTCATAGGTCGACGCTCAACCACTGAGCCATGCTGGCCAGCCCCCCCTCTTGAGTCCTGCTCTATTCCCTACTATTGGTTGCTTCCCAGCACCACCAAGGAACGCAACCTTCCCTATATTCTCAACCCCTGTGCCCCTCCAGGACTACATCCATAGTACCCACGGCAAGGAGATGGACTTGCTACGAACAACAGTCAAAGTCCCTGGCAAGCGGCCCCCACGGGCCATCTCTGCTTTTGGCCCCTCAGCCAGCATCAATGGGCTCGTCAAGGACATGAGCACTGTCCAGATGGGTGAAGGCCCTGGTGAGTGGGGCTCATGACAGAGGGCAGGAGAGGGGCCAGGGCTAGGGGAAAAGGAGGGGTAGTAGGGAAGTAGGGACTGGATAAGGGAGAAGGTGGGTGATAAAGACGTACCACGAAGGCATGGGCCCAGAGACCGAGTGGCTCACTGAGGTTTTATATTCTTCTCCTTCCAACAGAAGCCACTACTCCCACGCCAAGCTCAAGCCCCAGCCCCAGTTCCCTGCAGCCACCATCAGACCAGACATCCAAACACTTGCTGAAGCCAGACCGGAATTTGGCCCGAGCCCTCAGCACTGGTCAGTGAGGACCCATCTTCCATCCACTATCTTCCAGATCCAGATGGGATGTGGGTGGGAAATGACCTTGGGGTGGAAGCTTGGAGACTGGAATCCAATGCATGAGTGGATACATTAAGCATCTACTGGGTGCAGGCACCAAGCTCACCATTATCGAGTTTATCATGATGTTTAAGACAAGCGGGTTCTAGAGCTAAATTGCATGAACTTGAATCCTGGCTTGCCACTGGGGCAAGTTACTTGATCTCTCCATGACTCAGTTTCCTCATCTATAAAATAGAGATAACAGTTTCTATCTGAAAGGGTTGCTTTAAGGCTTAAGAAAAATGAGAACATTGTCTAGCACATAGTCAGCATTCAGTGTTTGGAATGTTTAGAAATCTATCTATCTATAGTTTTCTTAATTTATTTAAAATAGCAAGTAACACTGTAACAAGTAATCCTTACAACAACCTTGTCAGGTCAAGACGATTATCCCCATTTTAGGGATGAAGAAACTGAGGCTCAGAAGATTAAGTGACTTGCTCAAGGTCTCAAGGCCAGTAAGTGGCAGAGCCAGGATCTGAGTACAGGTCTGACTCTAAACCACTCATCTGCCCACCTCCTCAGGAATAATCCAGGGGGACCTCCTGGAGAGGGACAGTTGAAAGGAGGGAACCCTAAAATGCCAAAGCTAGTTCAGGGGAGGAGACAGGCTGTGATGAAATCAGGAAGTCTGTGGAGGGGCAACTGAGGCAGCTGTGTCCCCCTTCCTAAGACTGTACCCCATCTGGAGACCTGAGCCCCCTGAGTCGGGAACCTCCTCCTTCTCCCATGGTGAAGAAGCAGAGGAGGAAAAAATTGACAACGCCGTCCAAGACTGAAGGCTCCTCTGGGCAGGCCGAAGGTGAGGCGTTGGTGGGCAGCTGCACTCCCACTCTGGACCCTCACCCCCAACTCTAGACCCCTGGCCTAGTTCCTGCAGGAGGAGGAAAAGTGTCTGAGCTGAGTGCTTGACTATCATTACCACTTTGCACATAATTTAGTGAAAAAATGAATGGACACCCCTCAGCCCTTGTCCTTCTTCTGGTTGTCCAGTCAATGCCTTTTACCCCCGCAGTCCCAGCACCCTGTGCCCAATGACCTCTCTCCTGATGACCCTCTACTTCCCCTTCCTCAGCTCCTGCACCCAGGGCCCCATGACCCCCAGGGTCTCAGCCCCTGATCTCAACGTCCCCCTTTAACTCCTCAGCTCCTGACCACCCAGCCCCTGTTCCCAGTAACTTCTTATGATTGCCAAGCTCCCCTGACAGCTCTTGACCCCAGTGAAGCCCCCAAATCCTCAAGACTTCTCAACCCCAGGCCCCCTCACCCCAGGCCTGTGGCCCACCTTCTGTACCCTTTCCCCGTGTTTACTCAGTTCCTGACCATCCCTTCCTCTCCCAGAGACCCGGCTCCTCATTGACCATGATAACCGGTCCCCACCGCCCCTGCTCTCTGCTGGGTGCTCAGACCCAGCCTCCAGATCTGCCTGCTCTCATGGCTCTTGGCTTCCGCTCTACTCTGCTCCGGGGCCACTGACTTTAGTTCTGCTTTCTCTCCCCATCTGTCTGTCCTGCTTTGTCTCTGGCACTCTGTCACTCTCTCTCCTTCTCTCCATCTACCTCTTTTTTCTCTTTCTTGGTCTTTTTCTCTGTTCTGCTCTCTATTCTATCTCTATATCCTTCGCTTCGGGAAACCAGCCAAGCGCAAAATGTGGAAACTAAAATCCTTTGGTAGTTTAAGAAATATTTATAAAGCAGGTAACAAGCGGGGAGCTGGGAGGGGCGCTCAGCTGGGGTGCAGAGGGGTGGGGGTGCCCCTGCCTTCCCCTGCATGTGCTCGGGCTTCCTGCTCTCCCCCACCTCTGCTTCCCCAGCCCTTCTGCCCACTCCCAGGGGCTTGGGATGGACATCAGGGAGGAAGGTTTGGGGAAGGCAGCTCCTGTTTGAACTCTCTCCCTCATGACCCCATCCCATCCCCCCACCCAGAGGAAAACTTCGAGTTCTTGATCGTGTCCAGCACTGGTCAGACGTGGCACTTTGAGGCCGCCAGTTTTGAGGAGCGGGATGCCTGGGTCCAGGCAATTGAGAGTCAGATCCTAGCCAGTCTGCAATGCTGTGAGAGCAGCAAGGTCAAGGTAATGGGGGTGAAAGGTTTGGGGGGAAAGCAGAGGTGAGTGTCTGGAGAAGGGGTCCCCGGGAGAGTCAGTAATAACCCCAGCCCTTTCTGCAGCTGCGCACAGACAGCCAAAGCGAAGCCGTGGCTATCCAGGCGATCCGGAACGCCAAGGGGAACTGTATCTGCGTGGACTGCGGGGCTCCCAGTGAGCGCAAGGGGGCAGTGGAGGGGCCTGGGAGGGAGTGTGGTTCGCGGGCCGTTGGCGATTTCGGGGTGGGTGCCCGTGTTGGCTCTGCGGGGACCCAATTTCTCACTCCGTCCACAGACCCCACGTGGGCCAGCTTGAACCTGGGCGCGCTCATCTGCATCGAGTGCTCCGGCATTCACCGGAACCTGGGCACGCACCTGTCCCGCGTCCGCTCGCTGGACTTGGACGACTGGCCTCGGGAGCTGACCCTGGTGCTGACGGCAATTGGCAACGATATGGCCAACCGCGTGTGGGAGAGCAACACGCGGGGCCGAGCCAAGCCCACGCGGGACTCCTCGCGGTATGTGCGAGGGAACAGATCGGGGGGCTCCCGAGAGGGTCCACGCGGGGGGGCGGGGAGGGTCCCGAGAGCCCTTCCCATCGATCCTGGTCCTGCAGGGAGGAGCGTGAGTCATGGATTCGCGCCAAGTACGAGCAGCTGCTGTTCCTGGCGCCGCTGGGTTCTCCGGAGGAGCCGCTGGGCCGCCAGCTGTGGGCTGCAGTGCAGGCCCAGGACGTGGCCGCCGTCCTCCTGCTTCTGGCCCACGCGCGACACGGGCCGCTAGACACCAGCGTGGAAGACCCGCAGCTCCGCTCCCCACTGCACCTGGCGGCCGAGCTCGCCCACGTCGTCATCACGCAGCTGCTGCTGTGGGTACGTGAGTGGGGCGGGGGTTGGATGGGGGGGGGGGGGGGTGAAGGGGTCTGGAGGGCTCCGTCTCGGAAACGGCCGGGCAGGGGGAG